GAAATCTAATATTTTATATTTGTATTATAAAAAATATAATTTTTTCAAATTTTTAATTATTAAATTAAAAATTAATTATTATTAAAAATAAAGAATTTAATTAATAAATATATAATTTAAATAATAGTATAGTATTATAAAATATAAAAATGTAAAATTATAATTTTTTTTAAAATATAAAAACTACGAATATAGTAAATTTGAAAGTAAAATTCAATATTTTTATGTTTCTTATTATTTATATGTATTAATTATATATTTTTAGATAAAATTTTATTCGAATTATTGCATGATTTATTTTATTTGGTTTTAATTTTCATTGTTATTAAAATATTAAATAATAATTACATAAAACGTTAAAGGAAATATTAATAATTATTCCATTATTCATTTTATTTATCTCAATGCATGTTTTTATTATATATATAAATATAAAAAGATATTAATAATAACACATATGAGATATAGATAATAAATGTGAAGATGAAGAATTATAATAGAGTATAATATATTGATGAATATGTACATGTTAAATAATAACAAATATAAGTTCGATATATGTATATTAATTATAAAATGAAGCAAAATAATATATATAATATAATAGTAAGCTATGTAATAGCTTAATAAACTGAAATAAATTTTAAGATGTGTCGATTGTATTTGTATGATGCCAGTGACCCTCTATCGATTCTACACTACGACAACGAAGCATAGGCCAAACTTGCGTTCTCTCATGTTTTCTGTTATTCTTTTTTGTATTCATCTTTCTTTCTTTCTTTCTTTAATATTTCTTCTCTTAGTTTCCATATTTTCTTTCCGCATTTTTTATCCTAACCCTTGTTATCTTATTCTATTTATTTGTTTTGATTAAAATTAGTTTTTCTTATAAATTGTACACTTTCTTTATTTATTTATTTTCTTCTATTCCTTTTTTTATATTGATTTTCATATTCGATTATTCAGTAGTATTACAATTATATATTATTACATATATATACAAATATAAAAATATATATACAATTATATATTATTATATATTATATATATATTATTATATATATATTATTATATATTGACCATTATATAATTTTTTGTATTAACTTACTTTTTTCTTATATACATATATGTATCTTTCTATATTATTATCTATTTCAATTTTATTAATTGTTATAAAATTAAATTATATATAATAATTATATAAAATATTCTATATGTTATATTTAAATTTTATCACATAAAAATCACATTATAATAAAAATTTTATTTGAATGATATATAAAGTAAAATAACGATTTATAATATCGAAAAATAATAAAAATCTCATATGTAAATAGAGACAATATAAATTAAATTTATAATTGGATAAATAAACATTAATATATTATATCTATTAATAATTTATCTGTTATATTGAAATGATCTCAATTTTAATGGAAATAGAATTTCTGATGTAAATTTTATAATATTTTTAATAAAGGAAAACTTTTTATTAAAGATAGAAATTAAGTGGGCGGTGTTATGTATTGAAAATATTATATGCAATGCGTATATTTAACTATCAATAATTTAATCAATAACTGAGATATGTACTGAGCTTNNNTATGTTTAGTTTAAAGCTGTTCAACTTTATAATTATTTACAGTTAGTATTATAATAAATAGCACAAAAGTACAAAATTTTATATTATATTTTTTTGTTTTTTTTTTTGGTTTATAATTTTAAATGTATTCTTTTATAATTATTTTATGTAAAATACTTTTTTATTTAACAAAATAAAATAATTTAAATTGAATAAAATAATGCAATGCATTATTTTATATAGAATAATTTATGTAACTTGCATATTTCAAATAATTTTTATAGAATTAATAAAAATTATATGATTTGAAAGACAAATAAT